TGGTTGTAGACAACATTGTTCGTATTTATCTAACAGAGCTGAGCTCAACACCATAAACCCTAAACCCTAAACCCTAAACCCTAAACCCTAAAACCTAAACCCTAAACCGTATATGCCATAAACCCTAAACCCTAAACCGTATGGCGTAAACCCTACACCGTAAACACTAAAATACATACAGTAAACCGTAAACCCTAGACCCGAATCCCTAAACCCTAAACCCTAAACCCTAGAGGAAGGAGGGAGGCTTACCTAGAGCTTCATCAAATCGATGGCATAGGCGGAGGACAGAGATGTGTACCGTCAGCACTGCAGCAAAACCCTCATCAAGGAGAATTAGGGTTTAGGGTTTATGATTAAGAGTATAGATTCTAGGGTTTAGACAGTGCGAGGTGTTTATTGGGCTTGCTTAAGGGTTTAGGGTTTAGGGTTTGCAGGCGCGTTAGGCAGGTATTCAAGGGTCTACAGAATTAGGGTTTACAGGAGGGTTTAGGGTTTAGATTAGGGTTTAGGGTTTATATTAGGGTTTAGGGTTTATATTAGGGTTTAGGGTTTAGGGTTACCTGCACTACTATCCTTAAGTTGTATATAAACTTTAGGGTTTTGCATAGTCTGAGGGTTTATCTCCTGTGGTGGTGTTGGCTGCTGCAGCTGCCGCAGCAGCTGCTGCACTAGCTGCAGCCTCTTGCTGCACTTGGGGCTGTAGGACTGTACGCACAAAACGCATGCATGCATGCATACATGCATAGGTGCGTGTATGTATGTATGTATGCATGCATGCATGCATGCATGCATGGAGGCACAAAATAGCAATAGCAAGCCTAAACCCTAAACCCTAAACCCTAAACCCTAAACCCTTACGGATACAATTCCTTCAACAATTGCCCATAGAAGATGTTTTTGCAGTCGTGTGCTGCCATATAGTCGGAGTGTATGCTGCAGCAGCAGCAGCAGCAGCAGCAGCAGCAACAGCAGCAGCAGCAGGAGAATAAATAAAATAAATAAACAAAAAAAACAATAAATAAATAAATTAAATAAATATAAAATAAATCACATACATAAATACATTAAATGGTACAAAACTAAATAAATAAATAAATAAATAAATAAATAAATAAATAAATAAATAAATAATTAATTAATTAATTAATTAATTAATTAATTAATTAATTACCTGGAAGAATTCATGATCAATATAAAAATAATTAAATAAATAAAATAAATAAATACAAAAATAACTAAATAAACAAACTAAATAAATAAATAAATAAATAAATAAATAAATAAATAAATAAATAAATAAATAAATAAATAAATTACCTGGAAGAGTTCATGATCAATATAAAAAGAATTAAATAAATGCAAAAGATTAACTTCTTCGCTTGCTTCCTCTAATGGTAAATAGGAAGCAGCAGCAACACGGCAAGGGGACAGACGAGCTGCAGCAGCAGCAACAGCAGCAGAAGCAGCAGCAGCAGCAGCAGCAGCAGCAGGAGAAGGAGCATTAAGGCTAGGAAGCAGCAACAGCAGCAGCTGCAGCAGCAGTAGCAAATGAATGCATGCACACAAACAGAAAAGAAAAGAAAGCAAACAGACACTGCAGCAACAGCAGCAACAGCAGCAGCAGCAACAGCAGCAGTAGCAGCAGCAGCAGTAGCAACAACAGCAGCAGCAGCAGCAGGTAAGACCACTCAACAGAGAGAAGCTCACAACAACAAATACAAATAGTCAAGAATAACTACCAACAAAAAAAGATGCATGCATTTTTGCATGCATGCATGCATGCATGCAAAAATGCATGCATGCATGCATATTTTGGGGCTTGGTTTTAGCGTCTTACATTCATTACGTAATTCTTTGTATGCAATACAAAGAAAATGATTAATAATTAAATCATCTCTTGGTAATTGACTCAATAAATTTATTGCTTCGTCTGTTTTACCTATAAATAAATAAATAAATAAATAAATAAATAAATAAATAAATAATAAATAAGTATAAATAAATAAATAAATATAAATAAATAAATAGTAATATTCACACTAATATTAATAAAGCAGCACAACAGCAGCAGCCCCACACAAAAAAGAAAAAAACAATTTGCTGCTGCTGCATGCATGCATGCATGCACGCATGCAGCAGCAGATTGCATGCATGCAGCAGCAGCAGATTGCATGCATGCATGCATGCAGCAGCAGCAGATTGCATGCATGCATGCATGCAGCCCCACACTTACCTTGTCTAGTAAGAGCAATAACCTTGAGGCTTTTAATGATTTGCTGCCGCTGCAGCGGGGTAACAACAGCCCCAGCAGCAGCAGCAGCAGCAGCAGCAGCACCTTTTTGCGGCCGCAGCAAATAAGAATTAGCTAAACGAATTGCCCCTTGTAGATCTCCGCTATCAATTGCTGCTGTTAATTCAGCTATCCTATGATCCATTTTTATTTGCTGCTGCAGCAGCAGCAGCAGGACTTGCTGCTGCTGCTGCTGCTGCAGTGGGGAGGGAGAAGAAGGAAGAGAAGCTGCAGCAGCAGCTACAGCAGCGGGAGAAGGAGCTGCAGCAGCAGAAGATGCAGCAAAAGAGAGCTAAGTGTATTGCTGCAGCAGCTGCTGCAGCAACTGCAACTGCAGCAGCAGCAACAGCAGCAGCAGCAGCAGAAGCTAAGGAAGCCGTACAGACAGCTGCTGCTTCTGCTGCTGCAGTTTTTGCTGCTGCTGCTGTGCTGCTGCTGCTGCAGCAAACCAATCCTTTACTAGGATCAAAATAACCGCAGCAGCAGCAGCAAAACAACAACAGCAGCAGCAGCAGCAACAGCAGCAACTGCAGCAACAATAATAAGAATAAATAATATATTTTCTTTTTTATTTTCTTTTTTTTATTAAAAAAAAAGAAAAAAAATTCTTTATAAGAAATATAAATTGATCGATGCTGCTGCACGGGGTCGGCAGCGCCTCGAGGTGTATGTACAACTTCTAGGGGCTTATTTTATGTATATATACATAATTTAATTGAATAAAAAGAAATTTTTATTTATTTCTTTATTTATTTCTATTTATTCTAATTATTTTAACAAAAAAAGCAAACAAATCAGCAAAAAATAACCCATAACACCGCCCTCTTGCGCTCCCGTTCTCTCTCTCCCTTTCCCTTCTTGCATGCAGTATAAATATATACATCATTTTTTTTGTGTTTTTCTTCCTTTTATTCCAATTAAAACAAATAATTAATTAAATTAAATAAAATAAATGAATATTTACGTATTTTTATCCCTAAATTGTCTTTTTTAGTCACAAATATACACAATTCTATTACTGCCTCTATATATATTTTCTTATATATACACCTCGACCGTGGGGCGGTAGGTGAGCATACACCGCAAAAAAGAAGAAAAACAACTTTTATTGTTTTTTTAAGGAAATAAATACAATTTAATTAATTATACTTAATTTATTTAATTATTTTATATTTATTTTTATTTATAAAAGGAAAAAAATGCCTTATTAGTCAATTTACTGCCGTGTTTATAATAACATAACAAGGAATAATAAATAAACAATACAAACAATTAAATTAAATTAAATTAAATTAAATTAATTAATTAATTAATTAAATAGTTAAATAATTAATTATATAATTAATTATATAATTAAACAATTAATTAATAACTGTAAATATTAATAAGCAATTAATAATCTATGCAGAAAAAGAATAGAGAAAAAACTCATTAGTATCTCGCCGTAAACCCTAAACCCTAAACCCTAAACCCTAATTATAGTCTATTAAGGGTAACACCATTTAGTTTATTAACAGCAGCAAGCAAGAGGGGTAAAGGGTTTATAATAACTAAAAGAAAAGAAAAAGGAGAAGATATTTCTTTTGCTGCTGCTGCTGCTGCTGCTGCAGCAGCAGCAGCAGCAGCAGCAAATGAAGGAATAAAAGAGAAAAAGGAATAAATAATAAAAAGAAAAAAAGAAGGAAAACCCTCTTTCTCTTTTATACACTAATTATATATGTATATTATACAAATTATGTATATTATATATGTATAT